GCACAACAGGTGTGAATCCGCAATTGCTTCGGGGGTCAGACACCGGTGTATACATCGGTTTCTCCACATTCGGAATGCCTGACTGTATGCCAGAAGACGTTCAGCCGGACTCACAGAATAATCTGTTCGACACACTGTTATGGCTGCCCGGATCTGCCAAATGCCTGTACGCCAACCGCATCTCATTTGTGTTTGACTTCAAGGGTCCGTCACTTATCATCGACACCGCCTGTTCCTCCAGTTTGGTTGCACTCAACGCCGCTATGAATGACTTGAGATTAGGTATAACTATATAACAATATAAGCAATCATTTATGTGATCACAATATTTACCATATTTTATTTTGAAGGCAAGTGTCGTCAGGCGATAGTCGGCGGAACCCAACTGTGTCTTCAGCCGTTCACGAATCAGATCTTTCAGACGACATCACTTAACTCGAGTGAAGGCATACCAAAAGTGTGGGACGAAAAGGCGGACGGCTTTGTGAGGGGAGAGACCGTGTCGTGTATTTTACTTCAACGAAAATCGGATGCAAAGCGTATTTACGCCACTGTTTTGAACTCTGGAGTGAATATCGATGGAAACAAACGGATGGGAATGTTTTTCCCCTCAGCCGAGAGTCAGGAGGAACTGATGGTTCAGGTGTACAGTGAGGCCAGTATTGATCCCTTGAAGGTAAACTACTTTGAAGCGCACGCCACCGGCACTAAGGTATTGAACATAGTATTAATATTTCAAATATCAGTAATAATGACACTAAAGGGGTGTTTAGGTGGGAGACCCCCTCGAAGCCAAAGCCATTTACAATGCCTTCTGCTATAAACCTAAACGTGAAGGAGTGCTACCCATAGGACTCGTTAAGAGCAATATCGGACACTCGGAGGGCGCGTCGGGTATGGCTTCGGTGGCTAAAGTGTTGTTGGCTTTTGAAAATGAATGCATTCCCGCGAATCTTCACATGAAGACTATTAAGAGCAGTATAAGAGACTTGTGTCCACCACTTCAACCCATAACTGAGAAAATGAAATACACTCCCGGTTTGTATTAGTTTTACGTTAACTCTTGTTTTAACACTTTGGGGTATTTTGGGTTAGGAATCGCTGGTGTAAACAACTTCGGTGTCGGGGGAGTGAATGCAACCGTTTTACTCGAACCCAACTATAAGGTGTCCGATGCGGACAGTCTTAAGATCGCGGACACAATCCCGAGAATTGTGAACATCTGTTGCCGAACCGAAGAGGCGTTGAATGAATATTTCAATTTCATTGAGAAAAATGCCGATAAAATAAGCCGAGATTTCCTCTCACTTTTGGCCGAAACAATGCGAGTCAGTCCTCGACTTAATTCAAATGGGTTTCCGTACAGAGGTTTGACTTCTTATTGTGTATTGAATCTCACATTCATTTAACAATTTCCACAATTATTTATGATATTTAGGCTCAATGTTTATCAAACAAATCAATAATAATCAATACCAGTATAGGAGGCAGTCATCATTCTTTACACAAAGATTAAGACCGGTTTGGTTTCTATTTCCCGGTTTGGGCGGACAATGGGTTGGAATGGCTAAGGCTTTGATGCCAATCAAGATATTCGCCGATAAGATCGATGAATGCCATGAAGTACTCAAACCCTATAACATAGACTTAAAACATCTCTTATTATCTGATGACAAGAATTCAATGTCTAATATGACGAACAAATTCTGTGCCACAACTGCTATAGAAATAGCATTATGTGATGTTATCCTCGCTCTCGGTATTACTCCCGACGGTATTATTGGCCACTCTTTTGGCGAAATAGCGGCCGCTTATGCGGACGGATGTCTTGACACACGAGAAGCACTTTTGATGGCATATTATAGAGGAGTTGTGACCGAAAGTGATAAAAAGTTACCAAAAGGACTGATGGCTGTCGCGGGTCTCTCGTGGACTGAAGCGAAAAAATTATGTCCGATGGGAGTGAATCCCGTCTGTAATAATGGATTGGACACAATTGTACTGTCGGGTAATGTTCATAATAATTATTATAAAGTTATATTTATTATAATTATTCTTTTATATAAAAGGTTTATACAATGAAATGAAACAAATGGTCGAAGACTTGACCAAAAAGGGAATATTTGTTCGCGAACTCCAAAGCAATGATATTCCATATCATAGCGAATATCTCATTACATCCGCGAAGAAACTAACCGAAGAACTCAAGAAAGTAGTTCCCAATCCTAAGCCTCGGTCTAAGAAGTGGATTTCAACCGCAGTTATAGAATCGGAACCCAAAGATGAACTCAGGACCGCATCGGCCGAGTATTTTGTCCATAATCTCATATCTCCCGTCTATTTCTACAACAAATTCAAACACTTGCCATCGGATGCCCTCATCCTTGAGATCGGACCGCACGGGCTGTTCGGCAAAGTAGTGAAGGAAACACTAGAATCGGGTACTTATGTGTCGCTCATTAAAAAGGATTCAAACGACACAAATCTAGATATGTTTTTACAATCAATCGCAAGGTTATATGAATTAGGGCTCAATCCTTTGATTGAGAAGTTGTACCCTTCAGTCCAATGGCCGGTCGCCAGGAATACCCAATCATTGAGTTCTTTGATTCGTTGGGATCATAAGGACTCGTATTTCGTTAAAAAATATCCCGACTTTCACTTCCGGTCGACGGCTTCCGACTTGAATGAAGTGATTTACATGAGTCGAGCTCTGAAGTCCTTTTTGCCCGAACACGTGATCGACGGCAATGTGTTATATCCGGCGACTGGTTATCTGATGCTCGCCTGGAAACGAATGGCCGCCACTTATGGCCGCATTTGGAATCAGATTCCAGTGATCTTCGAAGACGTTCAGTTCAGACGAGCCATCTTTCTGTCCGATTCCGAGGAGACACGAATCAAAGTCAAATATCAGGAACATTCAGGTATTGATGTTTACTTATAATATAGTTATATTATATATTATAATATACTGTAGTTTACTTATTATATTATGATGTATGAGTTGTACTCACTTTAAACTATCAAACTTTAGGCGAGTTTGCAATCTATGAAAGCAATCACATCTCATGTGTGGGCAAAATCAGGACTACAGATGAGTATTGTCTAAATGTTCAGCACTTGTTAATCGATAACAATAAGAATGACTTTGAGGTTGAGATCAAAGCGAAAGACATCTATAAAGACCTGAAAATTCTTGGCTATGATTACGGACCAAAGTTTCGTAAACTGGTGTCCATTCGGTCGAAAAACTTCAAAACACTGGAGGGAGAGATCGAATGGGACGGAAATATGATCACATTCTTGGACTCGTTGTTGCAAACGATGGCATTGGGACAGCCCTTCAAGAAGATGATGGTTCCGGTGATGATAAAGGCGTTGCGATGCGATCCCAAAGCGCTGTACGAAGGCGTGAGAGAGCATAGAGTGGCCGAACAGAGAGACATCGATCTGTTGAGTGACGAGACGTACGATCACGTGATGGACGACAACATGAAACTCAAAGACGACGTGATTATGGAGAGCGTTATGGACTCACAAAACATCGATGTTATCGAAGAGTTGTTTAGCAAAGAGTTTCATATTTACAAATCCGTTCTCCCATTTCATGTGGACATCAATTCACGAATGATTGTCACTAAAGGCGTCGAATTGGAGGACTTGATGGGCCTTCCGATGCCCCGCAAGACTAATGTTCAAGACTTAAAACTAGAGTCCTATCAATTCGTGGCCAATGAAGAGAATATGGCTGTCGATGAATGCGTTAAGAATAGTGTCGAAGAATATGTTAAGGTTTGCACAACACTTGTCGATCAAATCAAACACATGATTGAATGTAAAGATCATAAACCGGACATTGAATTAAATGATGATCTCTTAAAACAATATCTGTCTGACAATAAAGTGGACCACATTTTGCTAAAATTATTGAATCAATTATACAAAGAACTGACGGATGAAAATCAAAATATTGTCAAAACTGACAATTTTATTACAAATATTCTTTCGAAACCAGAATTTGATATGAGTTTAGATGTGATAAATCAGGTCTCAAAGAATGAGCACTTGATTCGCTCTCTTCTGGATATTGTCAGTGAGAATAATGTCCCCAAAAAAGAGATCAGAGTTTTAGAAATCAATTTAACAAATGGTCTGATGGCCAGAGAAGTGGACAATCATTTGGCTTCGGCTGCTATTTATCCAATTGATGTCAACTATACTATTGCTCTCAAATCTATTGATGGCATTCACGACGACTATAGGAATAAGTCATTCAAACTGATGCAATGGAGTCCTAAACAAAACTCGTCGGACTT